CTTTTTCTTTCAAATAACTCCTTGATGTGACTTTATCCATTAGGCCTCAATCTGAGATAGGGTTTTAGAAACAATCTAGAACCAAAATTAATTCTACCATGTTATAATTTGCCCAGTCAGATGCAAAAAAAAAAAAAAAGTATATGATTTTCAAGTACTTTCTACACTTCAGACTAAAAACAGCATTTTTTTTTTTTCTTTAAGCAAATGCAATTCTCTAGGTACTTACTGTAAGAGGATTTTAGTCATTGGAGACATTTAAAAAAAGATCTCAAGCGAGAATCTTTCTTCACATTTTTTTTTTCAAAAGGATATTTACTTTGGGAAAATGCTACATTTAGAAAAATTGTGCCCTTGGATGACAACTGGCCCACTAAGTTTTACTGTGTTGTGTTTTTCTTTTTTTTTCGAGGGAGGGGGAGAGTGGGGCGGAGGAGGCTGGAGGCTGTGTGAAGGCAGTTCTAGTCACCCACCAGCCTAGCACAATTTTGGAGTTCGTTTTCATTCATCGACTTCCATTCATTCATTCATTCATTCCAAAAACATGCTGAGGGGCCGCCATGGACAGAACACTGTGGGACACAATGGGATTACAGCCACAAACAGAATACTTTCTTTGACCGCCTACCCTTGTCAACTGGGTACCACCAGAGAATGATGCCCTAATGTCCCAAGGCACCAGTTCCCATCAGGCTGATGTTATCCGCGCCCCCCCCCCCCCCCCCCCCCGGGAACACTGGGCAATGTCTAGAGACATTTTTGGTCGTCACAACTAGGGGGACGGTGCTATTGGCACGGAGTGGGCAGGAGCCAGGGATGCTGCCAGGACAGCCCCTACCACAAAGCATTATCCAGCCCCAAGACGTCAAGGGTGCGGAGGTTGGGAAACCTTGACCTAAGGCATCCAAGAAACGTAAGGAATTAGCTCCTAGTTACCGGTTCTGGTTAAGTACCATCCTTAGGAGAACTAAGAAAGTAGTAGCTCGACTTATTTGCTGTCCGGCTTTCTTCTCTCATGGGACCCTGACTGAGAAAGTTTGGTACCATTGCTCTCAGGGTACCGGCCGTGGACCAGCAGCATCAGCATCGCCTGGGGGCTTGTTAGAAAGGCAGAGTCTCGGGGCGCCTGGGTGGCTCAGTCGGTTAAGCGTCCACTCTTAGTTTCTGCCCAGGTCATGATCTCACGGTTCGTGAGATCAAGCCCCACGTCGGGCTGTGTGCTGACAGCGTGGAGTGTCTTGGGATTCTCTCTCCCCCTCTCCCTTTGCCCCTCCCCTGTTCTCTCTCTCTCAAAAAAATAAATAAACTAAAAAAAAACAAAAAAACAAAAAACAGAAATAAATAAAGGAATGCAGAGTCTCAGGACTTAGACCCCAGATCAGCTGAATCAGCACCTGCACGTCAACACGATCTCAGGTGATTTGTGTGCACGGTAGTTTGAGGACTCCTATTCTAATCAGCAGAAGGTTTCAGTGGCTATGTTGCTAAGTGCTTCTGCTACAGACTGAATGTTTGTGTCTCCCTAAATGCATATGCAGAGATTCTAACC